GCATCTTTTGTTTTCGATCAATTGTCATCCCAACGGGTTGTTGGCGTTTTAAAGGCTCGGAAAATAACAAAAGCGTGTTTAATGTTTGTGGTTGTCTCTTTCTAGCATGTGTTTTTTTATATTGAGTTTTTCGTATTTTGATTTTTTATGACAATTTTCTTTGGCAGCTTTTGTTTTCGATCAATTGGTATCCCAATGGGTTGTTGGCTTTTAAAGGCTCTGAAAATGCTAAAAGCGTGTTTAATGTTTGTGGTTGTCTTTCTCGCATGTGTTTTTTAATATTGAATTTTTCGTGTTTTGATTTTTGATGACAACAATTTTCTTTATCATTTTTGTTTCCAGATTGACTGGCGTCGAACCAAGTGTTTTTGGCTAAGGAAACGCACGAAAAATACTAAAAAATTGTTTAAAGCTAGTGGTTGTGTTTATCATCTGTTTTTTTTTAAAAACAATAGTGAACGCAGTGAAGTTTCCTATATAAGTCTTGGTGATTTTTTTTTCAGGAAAAACTCTTTAAAATGCCCTAATATTTACAGATCTGCGTTCATTCACGTTGATTCATTTATGACTGCTCTTAGGTATACTATATGCTCTTTTTGAGTTCAATTGAAATACATCTGCTGAAATTGATCTAAATAGCACGCTCCAAATACGAACGTGGAAATGGCGCGAAAAAACATGAACGATATCTGGTTTCGAAAGTGGAATTTAATTTTTAGATTTCGAGCGAAATAAAAACTTAACCTGTTATCAAAACGTGTTAAAAATTTTTTATGACAATTTTCTTTGGCATCTTTTGTTTTCGATCAATTGGTATCCCAATGGGTTGTTGGCTTTTAAAGGCTCGGAAAATGCTAAAAGCGTGTTTAATGTTTGTGGTTGTCTTTCTCGCATGTGTTTTTTAATATTGAATTTTTCGTGTTTTGATTTTTGATGACAACAATTTTCTTTATCATTTTTGTTTCCAGATTGACTGGCGTCGAACCAAGTGTTTTTGGCTAAGGAAACGCACGAAAAAGACTAAAAAATTGTTTAAAGCTAGTGGTTGTGTTTATCATCTGTTTTTTTTAAAACAATAGTGAACGCAGTGAAGTTTCCTATATAAGTCTTGGTGATTTTTTTTCAGGAAAAAGTCTTTAAAATGCCCTAATATTTACAGATCTGCGTTCATTCATGTTGATTCATTTATGACTGCTCTTAGGTATACTATATGCTCTTTTTGAGTTCAATTGAAATACATCTGCTGAAATTGATCTAAATAGCACGCTCCAAATACGAACGTGGAAATGGCGCGAAAAAACATGAACGATATCTGGTTTCGAAAGTGGAATTTAATTTTTAGATTTCGAGCGAAATAAAAACTTAACCTGTTATCAAAACGTGTTAAAAATTTTAACTGTTATCAAAAAACTGCCGTTCATAAATCGTTCTAGAAATTAAAAGAGCTTAAAGGGCATCTAGTTTTTTGTTTGAAACTCGAAAGTTTCAACAAACTCAGTGTTTTTTATGTTTGCTTGCGTTCATTACTCTTTTATGTTTTGATTTAACTTCTCAATGACATTTTCATCTGTTTTTTTTTGAAAATACTTGAAATTAGTTTAATGCTACTGCTTGTGTTTCTTATCTGTTTTTCTGAGATTGATTGTTTCATATTTCCAAAAAAAAAATTAGTTTTTTTTCAAGTTTTCTCATGACAACTGTTGTTAGCTCAGTAATCGCTCGGAAAATACTGAAAGCGTTTTTGAAGCTAGTGGTTGTATTTCTCGTCTGTTTTTTTTTAGCCATTGAGTTTTTTTTTCCAAAAATGTTTGGTTTTTTCAATTTTTTTGTTACTTAGTTATATCTCACTGTCTATTTATTTTCTTGCATCATTGTATTGCAAGCAATGCAAAGCTCCGCTTGGCCTCTGTGTATTAATCTATTATTTTTTTTATACGTTATGCGATAGTTGTATATCCATACTATCGTATAACTTATAGGTGTATAAGTTGAGGTCAAGGTACCGTTCAGTTACAGTAATCGGGGAATGCTTTTTGAAAAGAAAAACCAAAACACACCCGAATACTAAAATTTTCAGTGGTCAGAACAAAAAGAAAGCTCAATTAGGAAGACACTTGGTAGGCTTGAGTCGCCAATAATAACTACCAACCCTGAATTACTCAGTGAAAAAGCTTTTTGTCGTGAACGTTTTTTTGGAATATAGATTTTTTTCTAGTTAACAACTAATTTAACGATCACTTGAATAGCTTGCTTTGTTAATGAAGGTAATTTTCATAAAAATGTGAGTCTAGTAGTGTGGTGGTAAGGAGCGGGTATATGTCGCGAAAGATCAAGGTTTCGAATTCAAGACCATACCAGTGTTTCTAATTCGATGAACGTAGTTCAGAATCTTTTATAGGTCGCGATGATTTGTTTTTTTTTTCAAGAAAATTTCTTTAAGTTCTAAATTCAGTTCTTTCCTTCGGTAAAAGCAGGCAAATCCGACTATCGAATGTAAAAGTCACGAAAAATGTGATCGACTTGTAATTTTGAAAATGGAATTTAAGTATCAGATTTCCCAGCGGAATAAAAACTTCAACCAATGATCCAGTTTTCTCAAATTGGGTTAGCTTTATCGGAAAGTGCTTAGTATAAATTGTTGTTTTAGAAGGGCAAAGAGGTTTAATGCCATTTATTTTTTCTTCAAAATTCGAAGGTTGAGATTTTTTCCAAAACACGAGTCTGTTTTTTGGGTTCATTTCTCTTTTCCAACTGTCAGTTGGCTATGTTCACTATAGCTGCAAGTGCTGTTCGTTACGTATTTAGGGAACTTGAAACTTTCTAACAAAATCATTTTTTTTCGGCTCAACTGGTGTCTGCTGTAAAATTGTCGGCTTTGTTTCGCTTCGTCATTTTTGTTCCGTTGTTAATTAAAAATTCAATTGTTTTGCTTGGCATGTTTGCCTAGAGTGACATTTTATCGAGACATACGAAAATTTGCACTTCTCATTTTTTGTATTTTTCTGTTGTATCGCAAGTGATGCGAAGCCCCGCTTCACCTCTGTGTCAAGAAATAGTCTTAAAATTTGTTTATGCCATGTTAGGTTTTTTGCGGTTTAATTTTTTGATTTCTTTACAGCTTATTGATTTTTTAGTTTTCAAAGAGGATTTTAATTTTCAAATTTCCTTCCGAAATTAAAAAAAATTACCTATTGATCCAGTTTCTCAAATTGGGTCAATTTTATCAAAAAAAGTGCCAGTCATAAATTCTAAGAGCTTTAAGGGCATCTATTTTTGTTAAAAATTATAGAGTTGAGATCATTTCAAAACAAGTAGATATTTTTCCTTGGAGCCTCGTAGCAACCAATTTACCACTACAGAATACCAATTTTCCGCTCCAGATTTACTTTGTACTTGTTGGGATTTTATTTATCTGCCCTGATGAATTTTTTGCCTCGTGCGACGGGCGAATTTTTTTGTGTGTTTTGAGGGCGAGTTAAAATTTTTTTTATTAGTCTTCAACTTTTTCGGCTTTGTTTTTTTTTCGGCTTAAGAGGTTTCTGTCTATTTTATATCGTCTTAGCGGCCTCATATTGTTTCGTTTGACTGGCTAATTAAGTGCCAGTGTGCGTGTTGAGGGTGAGGGGGACTTAATAAAATGTTTTTTTTTTCAGCTGAAAGGGTTTCTGCTAAGGTGTTTCGGCTTTGTTACCGCTTGGTAATTTTTCTTTCGATGCGAATTTAATGCGAATTTCTATTGTTTTGACTTGTTTTCCGTTTCAAAACTAGCTCTGTTCATTTTGATAGATCTAGTTTCGAATTTTTTCTTGTTTCAAGCGGCTTTCTTGTTGTGTATCGCAAGTGGTGCGAAGCTCAGCTTCGCCGGTGTCGAAGTTGTCGATGAACTAGTTTTGCGGAAAAATCAAAATTGGTGACAATTAGCCAATCATACTGCCTTCTGATCCATTTTTCTGAATTGAGTAATTTCATCAAATAATTTCAAGTCATTCTTGTGGAGAACTTTAGCATGATGCAGCTCTTTTAGACAAACTAGGGTAGTGTTACACTGTTAGTCCTGTTTTCCTTAAACAAGTTGCTCATAAGCGAATATTTTTTTGAAAGAATAGTTTTTGAGGGAAGTTTTTAGCCTCTTTGAAGAGCTCGGTTTTTGGCACAGTTTTGTATAGAGGTTAGAAAAAGTTTTTAACCACTTTGAAGATAGACTTCCTGAGCTCGATTGTTGTACAGTTTTAGAGGTTTGAAGTTTGGCACTTGGCAGTTTATTGGACTAATTTTTGGGCGATTTTATGTTTCTAACTGCTCAATGCGTCAGCGCGATTAATCGGTGTCCGGCGAAGTAATTTTAGTTTTGGTTTCATTCCAGGTATTTATCTGTAGATTTTTTGTAGTTTTTAGAGCTACTTTTTGCCGATTTTTGCTGTAGCTTCGGATTTCGATACTTCAAAATTAGAGCTGAAAAATCAATCAACTTAGGAGTGGATTTAGGGTGGGGGGGGGGGGGGGCGGCGGCGGATGCCCCCCTCAGGGATTCGACCCCATGCCGACCCAAAGGGTCCCCCCTTTGTACTATTTTGAGCTGACAGACCCTGAAATTTGAGGGGGGAGCGCGCGCCCAAAAAAAAAGCGATTTTTTGTTCAAAATTTGCCAAAAAAAAGCCTAAAAACGTCATTTTTGGCCTGTTTCTTCAAAAATTTGGTCGACCCCCCTCCCCCCACTCGAGAATATCTTAGATCCGCCCCTGAATCAACTCATTTTGTTAGAATTTAGAAACATTTTTTTTTTAAATGAAACAAGATGCAAGATTTTTTTGTTATAATCGGGGTTTTAACAAGTTCTTGTTGATGCTATAACCTTTTTGGGCACCTGTTATGTTTTTTAAAACTGATCACCTGGTAAAGCTCATTGAGTGATCGATCATAAGGTACAAGAAAAATCTTAGAATAAGTGTGTTCAGTGTTTTGTCTATTCTTCCTTTTTCATTTGTGTGAAGTATATTCAGGAGTGGTTGCGAGTCTTATTCTCTACTACGCCGTGGGAGCCCAACAGAAGGACTACAACTTGGATTCAAACGCCTTCTTCTACATACTCCTGCCGCCCATAGTGTTCGATGCTGGCTACTTCATGCCCAACAGGGCCTTCTTCCAGAACCTGGGCACCATCCTACTCTATGCTGTTATTGGCACTCTGTGGAACACATTCATCATTGGCACGCTTCTGATTCCCAAAATTCACTAATAAGTCTTTGGTTGTTTCGGCAAAATTATAGGTTTTATGGACTGCTTAAGATCTTATTTAAGGAGCAAATAACCACAGCAGTTTTGGTGATATATTACAATAGGTGGTAGGTTCAACTTCAATAGCTTGATCGCTTTTCGTTATACTTCGCACATTATTTATAATTTGCTTCAAAAGCCAAATTTTTTTCAGCCAAAGAAGTGCAAAATTTGCATTTTTGAATAGCATTTCATTTGGCAGAGTATTGTATTTACAAAACTATCTTAAGAGTAGTACAATTGATTGAAAATGAAATGACTATATTATGCCTTATAGTTCTGAAATTTAATACATGCATTATACTCAAAATTACCACCTATTGTAACATATCACCGCAGTTTTTTGTTGACTTTCAACGTTTCAGTTAGTTTGTTTTTTAAATCCAAATCTGTTTTGAATCTAAATACTTCTTTGTACTGTCTCATAAGAAATTTCAGGGTTGGAAAAATAACTCAGGAAATGTGAAAACAATTTTTCATTGTTTCAAAAAAGTATCTTTTAAAACACGCTTCTAGTGGATGCGAGAGCAGAAGCCTGTCGTTAGGTCTTATCATGTGGGGATGTGACGCGGCGGGGCTCTTCGACGTCAGCTGTGGCATGTTGCCTATCTTCACGTTCGCTGCTCTCATCTCAGCCGTAGACCCAGTTGCTGTTCTAGCAGTGTTCGAAGAAATCCACGTCAACGAAACACTGCATATTCTCGTTTTCGGCGAATCCTTGCTGAATGATGCAGTTACAGTTGTCATTTACCACATGATGGAGACGTTCACAGAAATAGGCACTGAGAATTTAAAAACTGTTGACGTGTTTGCAGGAATCGCGAGTTTTTTCTTCATTTCTCTGGGTGGTACTACAATAGGAGTTTTGTTTGGGTTATTTACGGCATTTGTAACTAAATATACAGATCATGTGCGGGTTATAGAGCCGGTGTTTATATTCGCATTCAGTTATTTGTCTTACTTATGCGCAGAAATTTTCCATTTTTCTGGTATTTTGTCGATTGTGTTTTGTGGAATAACAATGGCACAATACGTGGAAGAGAATCTGTCTCATAAAAGTAGTGTGACTATCAAATATTTGATCAAAATGATGGCAGTTGTTTCGGAGGCTATCATTTTTGTCTTTCTTGGACTCTCGACGACTGAAGCCTTGTTGCATCTTGATCTAATGTTTGTAATTGTATCGCTAATTCTCTGCTTGGCTATCAGATTTGCAGGTGTATATTGCCTCACTGCTCTTGCAAATAGATTCCGAGTTGATAAATTGAATAACAGTCAGCAGTTTATTATGGCGTATGGTGGTATTAGAGGCGGAGTTGCCTTTTGTCTGGCTGTATTACTGGATGATGAAGTGTTCGGAGAAAGAGTGAAAGGCATTTTTGTGTCGGCTACAATTATAGTAGTGTTCTTTACGGTGTTTATTCAAGGCATGACAATAAAGCCTTTAGTTCAGGCGTTTCGAATCAAGACGCAGAACTTGGAAAATCTGAATGTGTTTGAAACTATGTCCGAGCGGGTTGTCGATCACGTGATGTCGGCAATCGAAGATATCACAGGTAATTTGATCGAGTTTTTTTGTCATTCCGTAAAAGTTTTGTAATTATAATATCTCAAAATTATATTAGGTCTTTGGTTTCTTACCGTTCAAGATTTTTGGTTGCAGGTCGACATGGAGAGAACTGGCTTCGTGTGCATTACGAACTAGTGAATAACAAGTACCTGAGACCAAATCTACTAAAACAGAAACCGGTGACGACAGAGTTGAACATGATGAGAGCTTTCTCGAGACTGAATATTCGCGAGACAGTGCAATATGTACAGAGTCACCAGAACATGTTCCATACTCCAACTGCTAGTCAGAACACACTCTCTCATTACCTCGCGAAGGAGTTCGAAAAGTGTGAGTTGATGTTTTTTATCAGTAGCGTGAGTTAGTCCCCCTGAACCCTAAACCTGTGTTTTTTGTTCCGACCATAGAAAATGTCGAGGAACTTTGTATTCGGGTGTGTTTTAGTTTTTTTTGTTTTTCACGCAAAATCAGGTACCAAAAAATAATCTTCGGACTGTATTGAGCGATATCTCATATTAAAGCCCTTTCAGTCGTGACTCGAACCACATTAGAAATTCCAAAAATTTTTCCCGGTGTTGAGAAAAACGGGTTTGATTTTTTGATTTTTCGTCTTCATTCGAACGAAAAAAGCAAGCGAGCAGGCTTACAACAGCTGAATTATGCCTAATTTAAAACCTCAAAACTTAATTTTAAGCAAGTAAAGTTAGGTTTAGGTGTTTTTAGTTTCACTTTTGAACCAAAAACTTCAAAATTTTTCTACAAAATTAGCTTTTCAATTTGTTTTTTTTTTTGTAGTTTTTCTAGTCATTTTTCTATAAAAAATTTTGTCGATCTTGCCAAATTACTATGACTGTCTAACATGCCTAACTTATATTTTTATGTCAGATCCTTTTATCCCACCAAGCCGAAAAAATCACCAATTTGGAAAAAAAAAATTCTAAATCGTAATTTTCTTAAGTCTATGGTCGGAACATTCTGTGCTACTTGCACAGTAACTGGGTATCCTTATTTTTTTTCTGGCGTTGTACAAATATGTCCCTGGAGTTTTGCTTATGACCAGATGGAAAGCAATGCTCAGTTAGTATCAAAATTATGCACGACATATTTTCTGCACTTTAAAAATTTAATATTTCCAAAAAAAATGCCAAACATGGTCTAATATAATAAGAATTGCTGGAAAATAACACAAAAAATTCCGGCTAGTGATTTTTTAAACTTTTTTGCAATTCAACTATTTTTGTGTAGATTAATTGAAATTTTCCGACAACTTTAATAAGAGCATTCACTTACCACACTTATCTCTGCAAATATAGAACGAAAATGCACACTTTTTAACTAGGGCAAATCTTTTTTACGCTTGCGACTTTTTTCGATTTGTATAATTTGTCAAAGAATCGTTGAATATTTTTCTCAAGCTTGTACTTTGGTCAACAGAGACACATTTTGTGAGCATACTTGCTTTTTTAAATACCCGTTTTATTTTAGGCTTGCGATTAGCAAGCGTTATCAAACTGGAATATAGAGTTTGTCGGATTAGCAACTTATTAAAAGAATCACTTTTGTCATGGTTCATAATGAATTCAAACTTCTATGCGTTCCGGGCCAACTTAGCTTGGAGGCAACGAATACGCTGAATTATGCCTAATTTAAGACCTTAAAACTTAATTTTAAGCAAGTAAAGTTAGGTTTTAGTATTTTTTAGTTTCATTTGGAATATAGAGTTTGTCGGATTAGCAACTTTTTTAAAGAATCACTTTTGTCATGGTTCATAATGAATTCAAACTTCTATGCGTTCCGGGCCAACTTAGCTTGGAGGCAACGAATACGCTGAATTATGCCTAATTTAAGACCTTAAAACTTAGTTTTAAGCAAGTGAAGTTAGGTTTTAGTGTTTTTTTAGTTTCATTTGGAAACCAAAAACTTCAAAATTTTTCTACAAATTTAGCTTTTCAATTTGTTTTTTTTAAAACTTTTTCTAGTCATTTTTCTACAAAAATTTTTGTCCATCTTGCCTGTATTACTATGACTGTCTTACATGCCTTATTTTTTTCATGTCAGATCCTTTCATGTGGTGCGAAGATCCGCTTCGCCTCTGTGTCAAAATTTGTTTTCAAGGGCAATGAAAGAAGTGAAGAATCATGAACGGTGTTGTACTGTTTTGTTTTTCAGGAAAAAGTTTTGAAATTTGTTCAGGATCAAATTATGATTTTTCGCGGATTGACTTCTGATTTTTTGAAGTTCAGTTCATTTCCATTGTTAAAACGAAAGTTAACTCCACTATTGAATAGAAAGAATGTAAACGTCCAGAAAAACGTGATTCGGAAGCTTGCTTTTAATGTTCAGATTTCCCAGCGGAATAAAAAGTTCAAGTTTTGATCAGATTTTCTCAAATTGCGTTTATCTTATCAAAAAGCAGCAATGAAAATTTGTCCTTGAATTCCAAAGAGTTTAGAAGCACATTTTTTGAAATTCGAAAATTGAACTTTTCTCAACGTTTTTTTTGTTTCTTTGCGTTCATTATTCTTTTCCAACTATCAGTTGGTTGTTTTTTTTAAGGTTCAATGAACGTAGTGAAAACTTTTTTTAATAGGTCTTGATGATTTTTTATCAGTTTTTTTCTTTGAAAAATTCATAAAATTTGTTCACGCTCGAGTTGGATTTTTTACGGTTTGATTTTTGATTTATTTTTCAATTCATTTCTTTGTTGAAAAATGAATGAAAAAGCTAACTAATAATTCATTTTTCTCAAACTGTGGTAATTTTATCAAAAAATTGTCAATTATATATTCAAAGAGCGTTAAGGCCATATATATTTTCTTGAAATGTGAATAATAAAGTTGTTTTAAAAAACAAATCAGTACTTTTTTCTCTTTCCCTTTTATTTAATCATCATGAGTACTGCAAATTTTAAATAAAAAATTTACAATTTGCAGTTTAGCTCACGAAAGGACAGCCAGCAAGAGGCTTGTTGAAGGCAACACCGTAAAAGTAATGACACCAATTCCAAAACTTTTATGAAATAAAGATCAAATAAGAGGCCTTTTTATATGAGAAAGACTTATATATAGCGTCATTATTTTTAATTTAAATAATCTCTTTTAAAATGAAGCCAGTATATTTAGAGATGTGGCGCGAGCATATGCTTACGAAAGTATTAAGCTAAGGACTGGTGTAAAAGGATAAAATTTGTGACCATGAGAGAAACAAGTGGGTCCAGCTCTTTTTAGTCGGTAATCCAATTGTCTCATTTTTTCTTTATTCCCTTTCTTGCGTTCATCGATTTTTCCCATTGTCTGTTGGGGATGTTAACTTGTAATTGCAATGTGCAACATCGCCTCTGTTGACAAGATAAATTATCAAGTTTTCTCTAGTGAATTTGCTTTTTGTTGCTTAGACGATGGTCATACGGAATATGCTGGCAGCAATTTGTACACTTACGGGGAAACGCAACTAGACGTCAAGCCTGTCACAACTTTCTTTCGACCCACTCCAAAGATGCTAGAGGATGCCCAGATTCACCGGGCTACGATGGAAACCGCATTCCGAAGGCGATCTAAAGACGCACATGCTAAATACACAAAACCTAAACACGCTATTCCAATTCGAAACAATGACTCTTTGCACCACATGGAAAGCTTCAGTGCTATGAGGCATCACATGATTAACCCAAGCTTCCACAAAAAAAGCATCGGAGGCATTGGTTTTGAGCGCTGGGAGTCGCCAAACAGATTTTACCAGTATAGACCGAGCGCAAGTGTGGTAGTGTCGAACTCTAGGTCAACAACGGAAAATAATGATGGGAAGACCGACTATGTCCAAGGATCAAATGTGCTCGATGAAGTCACTTACGCGAAGATTGCCGACGAAGAAAGTTCGTCAGGAGGTATAATTTTCACAGTTCCTAAACGGCGACCCACGAAAGAGGTTCAGATAGAAGTGGAACCCGAGGTGTATTCGAGCTCGGAAAGCAAAAAAGGAGAGTTAGGAGTGAACAATGACTCAGATTCGTTTCCGTTCGTCCAGTCTCCTGTCGCAATAGAGTCGTATCTGCCTTGGAAGGAACTAGCACTGTTGGATCCCAACACCGAAAAGCTTGAAGAAGCGGCGCCATCACAAAATGTGTATATTCCTCCGGGCAGAGATTCGTCGCTGAAGGAATGGGACAGAGAGCTCCCAAAGAGAGTCAGACTCTCCTCACGTTCGAGACTCAAAAAGAAGCAGTCTGGCGCGAGTGGTCGTGATCGTCTGAGATTTTCGGAAAAATCTGATGTGACTGGTATTGTACAGTCTGCTGACAGAAGCGACAAGAAATCTTTCGCTTCCGGAAGCAAAAGTTCAGTTGCTTCTGGATCGTCAAAACCGGGCGTAGTGTCGCTGCCGAGAAATAAAAGTGAAATGGTCGGTTCGGGTGCATCTTTTAAAACGTCAATTTCGCCCACGGAGAGTAGAAGCGCATTAGCGGTTGGTTCATCAGTGCTTTCATCGCCGTCTGAAGGTAATAGAGTCTCTAGCCCAGCTGTGAAATCGCCGAATTCCGGAGAAGCATCGAAGAGTTCCTCAAGATCGAAATTGGCAGTCGATTCGCAAGTGGAGGGTAGTAAAAGTGTGACAGATTCGGTTGTCGATGTGGGATCGTATGGGGGAGCTGGTTCCTCGACTTCGGAGTCTGATGAATCAGAGCTGGAAACTGAATCGGAAAGCGATTAATAAACTTTCGGCGAAAAAAGTGTTGAATTAATGGTTGTACTTTTTCTCACCTTTTGTGTTAACCTGTCAAAAATTGTAATCTTCTTAAAAATGTTTTGGTAACGGGCGTTTCACCACCAAATTTTAAGAAGTCGCTTATGTTGACATTCCCTGTTGAGAAGTCTTTATGTCGTGCATTTTCACCGAACATTTGTCGGAGCGCGAATGCTTGAACAGTTTTTTTTTTCGCAACGCAAACTAAGGTTTCATTCTGTTTCTTTACACTAACTTCAGCTTAGTGTATTATTACGAGGGGGCTATTCTCATGCTCGAAGGACCGAATGCGCGAAAAAACTCGTGAGCGAATGACCGAAAATAAAATTAGCCGAAAGTCAAATTTTAAAATGAAGCAATTGCCATTCAATTAAATGAAGCAATATTTCGCTTCTTTTTTAACGAAACTCTTGGAATATAAAATCTGTTCCAATTAGGCGGCGTCAGTGAAAATTTGGAAAATTTTGCATATTTCTGCCGTTTTTATATTCAGCTCATATCAATATTCTAGTCCCTATCAATAAATGTTAACTTTCATTGCAAATTTTAGATTACTGAAATCTGATTGGCTGATTTTTATTTTCGCGCATTCGGTCCTTCGCGTATGAGGGATTCCACCTTATTATCAACCTTCTTTTTCTTCTAACCTTATTCGCAAATATTGGTGCCAGTTTTGGGGCACCTTCACAGCTTTTTGATAACATGTGCTTTGATATTCGACTGGTAATAAGTTAACACAGTTGATGCATCTTAAGTTCATCAAATGAACCGAAAAAAGCTATTTGTTTCAAACAAACTCTCGATTTCAGAAAAAAAAATTTCATTTTATCTCACAATTTTTTTAATGCATGATTTATACATAATGTGGTTTTATACTCCAATTTGTTGTATGAAAAGTTATTGTGTATGCCTTTAGTTAAGAGTAATGAACGTAATGAGTACTTTTATACAGGTCTTGCGGATTTTCTTTGTTTTTTTTTTCAAGAAAAAGTCTAAAATTTGTTCACGCTCAGTTTTGATTTCTCGCGATTTGACTTAGGATTTATTTTTAAGTTTAGCGCATTTCCATTGTTAAAAGGAAGGCAAACTCCACTATCGAACAGAAAAATTGTAAAGGTAATAAAAACATGATCAATTTCTAATTTCGAAAATGGAAATTGATATCAGATTTCCCAGCGAAATAAAAGTTTTACCTAAATGATCCAGTTTTTTCAAATAGTGTTAATTTTAGCAAAAAAGTGTCCATCATAAATTGTTCTACAAAAGTTGAAGGCTCTTCAAAAAAACAAGTCAGTTTTTTCTCAGCTTCGTTGCGTTCATTACTCTTCTCCAACTGTTAGTTGGGTATATTTTGTTATATTCCAAATTATTTTTTGCAAAACTGAGTCTGTTTGTATTTGGTGCCACTTTTGCTGAATGGCATTCGCAATTTACAAACATATGTAGCTGCTTTATTCGTGACTTGTGTTTGTCGGTGGTTAAGCGGGCGTGGCTGTGTGGTTAGTGGGTGAGACTCAAAATCTCTAGATTGCAAATGGTCGCAGATCGAATCCTAGACCTAGCCGAGTTTTTACTAATTCGAGGCTCATTTCTATTTTTTCTTTTTGCGTTTTCTAGAGCTTCTTTTTGTTCTCGCTAGCGTTCGCGAAGCGAAGCATCACCTCTGTGTAAAACTTGAAAATTTGCACCCCTGTAATGGGTTGTTGTCATAGTTCTCCTTGGGGTTCCGCCTCAATATATGACTGCTGAAATCCTTATGGTTTAGGAGATGTGACAATTTTTGTGGTTTTTTTTCAAACTTATCCAAATTTTTAAATTCTCCCTTAATTGGTGGAGATTGTCAGAGTACTTAGGATGTACGAATCTTGTCTCTAAATTTGACTGCTCAAATCCTTCTAGTTTCCGAAATATGACGTTTTATATGATTTTTCAATTTTTTTTAAATTCTTCGCAACGTGTGAAATTCCCAACCCTTAAGTGAGTTGCTGTCGGGGTCCTATCGGCAGTTGCAAATCTTGACTTCAATTGTGATAAATTCCAAAAATTTAAGTTCAAAAAATCTTATGTAATTCCCTACGCTTAAGTGATTTTCTCTGAGGGTACTTCCAGGGTACTTTTGCAGATGTAGTTTCTTACATGACTGTTGAAATCCTTTATCATTTCGAAATTTGACGTGTTGTTTTTAAAGGGTTTTGTCACAATAATTTTCAAAAGTTTCGAGATACGACGAATTTTGTTATTACAAAACTCTTCAATTGACGAAGATATATATTTTTTAAAGTATATTGTTTTTGTTTTTATAAATTGGAGTAAAAGATTGATGGTCGTAAATGATATACGTATGGCTTGATGAAAAGTGCAAAACAAAAATGAAATCGTTAGAAAAATGAAATCGTTATTTAGAAATGAAATCGTTATAGAAGTTTTTTAAATACGGAAACCCAGTATTTTAGGAGATTTTAATTAATTAAGAACCGGAAGCTGTAAGTAACACACTAGCTGATTTTACATTGATTGTAAATTCAACAATTTTGATTTGCATAATTCAAATATTTTCTCGCCTTAAAGGTTTATTCGGCTTTATTTGCTTCATATAGCGTGGTTTGAAGAGCAAAACACATTTCTTATGTTTCTAAATATGTATATACAAAATTTTTGACATCAAGTTTCTGAGCCCAACAGGCGTTTGCATGATTTTTCTGGCTCTGTTAATGCTTCGTAAATTGGTTACCATGCTAACTTAACGCTGGTAATTATTGTTCTTGACAGTTTTTTCTTAAAATGAACTGCATTTATGACAATCGAGAAAAACTATTGGAAAAAGGGATTAATTGAGCAATCCCCCCCCCCCCCCGTAATGACCAATTGAGCTATCTCTCCCCCCCCCCCCCAGCAAAGCCGGTAAAACGCTACAAAACGACGTCAGCAAACGCAAATACATGGTTAATGTGTTCGCAGCACGCAATCAATTGAACGAGTGAAGTTTATTTTAAATAAAAAATTCGAGAAAAAATTTGACAAGGAAAAAAAATTTCAAATTTATTGTTGGAAATTTTTGTTTGTACGACCATGGCCTCATCGAGCAAAGCAACTTACCATAGTTGGTGCCCTAGCCTTATATCTGAATATCAAAAATTGTTCTCCGCAGCACATTAAAATTGCTTTTTTCATTTAGGACAAAAAAGGCGCTTTATGCGACCCAAGTCGCCTTAGTTTTATTGATTCTTTTTTCACTCTGAATTTAATTTTTGAGCTTTGATATTGTAAACTTATGCGTTCCACTATCGTTGAAGAAACTGATTTATGATTTCATATCATTCAAACAATTTTGAAGTGGCTATAAACATGTCTCAAGTACCTATTGAGCTATCTCCCCCCCCCCCCCCACGCGAGAATGGGGGGGAGGGGATTGCTTAACTGATCCGGAAAAAGTTCTAAAGCAGGTTTTAAAATAGCGGCTCTTGTCTCATTTGACAGCTAGCTTGCCATTTCATATCTGCAAACTTTCACACGTAGTGCTAAGTTTAGCTCCAACTCTATGTTTTAAGCTTCTTAGAAAGTGATTTTGAAAGTTTTCGGACAAATATTTGGGTTTGTACATAATTTCGGCAACTACTGAAAATTCATGTTTAATTTTGCCATGCTTCGTAATGCAAAGCAATGTGTCAATGTTTAAGTACTGCTTTGAATGTTTTTGGTTCAACGACCAGTTTTTTAGGTGTTTAGCCAAAAACATTTTTTTCTTCAGTTTGATGGAAATCAGTTCAAGTTCAATCGGTCCGTTTTTCAATCTGATCTGTCTCTGGAGATTTGTTTGAATTATGACATTTTGAAGAGATATGATAATATAGATAATCGTTTGTTATGATTGATTGTTTTTCGTTTTCTACGCAGAAGTTCATCTGTTTGGATGTTTTTGTTGAGCTATCGGTTTATCTATTGTGAGGAACTATGATAACTTCAAGTTATCACGATGGTTATTTCCGCTTTGGTCTATTTTAGCAATCTGATTCTTCTTTCTATCTTTCAACCATGGAGTGTTTTTAAAGGAGTGAATTCAGCTTTGTCTGCTGCAGCTTAAAAGGTATACTTCATAAAGAATTTTGAAGTTATGTATTGTGGTATTCGCGTCAATCAGATGATATCCTAGTTTTTAATAATAAACTTAATTGCAAAAACGGGAGGTTCTGTTTTTTTTTGTTCACTTGACGGTGCATATCACAAATATAAATAAGTCCACGTGTTGAAGTATTAAAACACCAATATAATACTATTTTTATTCTTGGGATTATCAAGGATTTTGCAATCGGGTACTAGACTATTTCTCGTAAATAACTTTGTTCACAGTACTCATCTGGACTCATCTCCTGGTGGTACCTTAGTTCAGAATGAATTTAAGTTTCTTTGTCGGTTTTTTTTGTCGGTTAGTTGCCACATCTACGATTTGTTTAAGTTTGCAGTACACAATTTTCATGTAGCTGCCTTAAGTATTTAAGAATTTTGAATATCCAGCTGAATCGAAATTCGTTTTTTATAGTGTTTGTAATTTTACCAATTCGATTTTTTAAAATTTCTTTTTTTTTCTAGTTTTTTTTCGCTATAATAGATATCTGCTTATTTCACAAAGACTTAGTGGCCTTTTTACTGCGTCGTTTGAAGACCAAAAAAAAATTGTTTGTGCTTGTGTGCATTTTGAGGGGAAGCGGACTTACTTTTTTTATTATTTGTTTAGAATTGTTGGAAATTTTTTCGGCATGAAGGGTTTCTGCTCATGCGTTTTTCTTGTTATTGCCTGGTAAGTTTCGTTGCGATGCTAATTTTGCCTTCTATGCTCATGGCATATGTTTTTTTTCTGAACTCTCTTCATTCATTTTGATATATCTAGTTGTATGTATAGTTATAAAATATCGGTATTACTTTTTTGCTGATGTTTTTTTTTCCGGCTTTATGGTTGTCAATTGAGCTCTTGGTTTAGTTTCCGAATTTTGCATCAAGTCAATATATGGCTCCTGTAGATACTATTTGGGCATTACATGTATTTTTTCCAATAAGATTTTGCCGAACCATTTTGGTTGATTTTCAGCTGATTGGCTGTCGGCCTTAATTCTTTCGGCTTATCTAATATTTTGTTTCCTACAAATTTTCAAAAGTATTTTTGAGATTGATAAGACTTTGGCTCCAAATTTTTGAATGCTCAAATTTAACCTCACGTGGAACTCTTTGAAAAATTTTTGACAACTTTAAACATAAAAAACTTATGATTTTCAATTTTTTTTTCGTTCTACAGGTTCTTTTTTCAACGGTAACAACGTTCGAAGTTCTCTTAGATTTTTCTTGAGCGTTGTGCTGTTTTAAACCTGTACTTAAGCCAAGTTGCGAGACGCCCAGCTTCACCTTTGTAATTTCATTGAGGTCAGCGTTTCATTTTTTTGTATTCGAAGTACAAATTTTAATTCACTTCAAACAATGGTTGTCAAAATTTTCATGCTCATGTAAGTTTGTTACCATATATTCAATCGAGAATGTTTAAATTTTTTTTTGAAAATGATTAAACCATTTTGAAAATAGTTTTTTTTTTGGAAAACAGAAAGTGCTGTTTGATACTATCTTCTATATTTCTATTTCCAACTATTTCAGAAGTCAAGTTGCAAAGCTCCAATGCACGGCATAGGAGATATGGCTTGTTTTGAAGTTTTAAAAATGTGTAGTACTGGATTGTTGATGCAGCTCATGTGTATGTTGGCTAAATATGGCGATCGTTGCTCAATTTTGAAATTTAACCGTCTGACAATGTGCAATTTGTTTGTTTCTATCAAAACATCCCCGAAATTTTCTTTTCACTAGCTTATAATACTATATTTGCGCGGTATCGCAAAAGGTGCGAAGCTCCGCTTCACCCCTGTGTCAATGATTGTTTTGGTTAGTTTCTCTATATCTTTTGTTTCCAAAGATACTTCTATTTGGAACTCTTTCGTTTCGTTGTCACCTATCCAATAATCAATCGGTGAGAGTCGATTACAAGTTATGAAGTGAATTTTTTTGGATGAGAATTTGTGTTAGCTTAGTCAGTTTCCGGTGTTTGAGTTAGTTCGCTGTTGATTTCAATTTCGCAGCTTTTGCTATTGACAACTACTCGAATACTGATATGTTTTTGCTACTCTTGCAGTCGTGACTCGGCTCGTTAATATCTAATTTTCCCTAGTGGACTTATTTTTATCCTATTACACTATTCAACAAAATCAACAGAAAGTTTATTAGGGGTCCATATGTGCCGCCTTCCAGTGGTGGACTCGACAGACAGCCTCGCCTGTCTGCAAATGGCACAACCACAACCTCCTATCTGGGAAACTAACAACGACTTAAGTTTATTAGACTGACGGTATGTTTTATTGCCTTGTTTTAGATCAGTTTGACTTGGTTAGTTTTTTTGCGGGCTTGTTATAACCATCACCAGCAGATGCCGGTGATCCCCATAACTTGTCCTGTATGTCTCAGCACAATAGTGCCAGATGACAATCTTAGCAACCCCGGATGTGGTCACGTGTTCCACACATCATGCATAGAAGAGTGGTTCAGAGTGCATAAATGTCGAACATGTCCGCATTGTAGAAAGACTTCACGCCTAGCGCAATCACATGCCATATATTTACAATTCGACGAAAACGCGCTAAATGAAACACTTCCACGAGTTTATTGCCACAGTGATGAAGTAGAATTAGTTCCAAAAACTAGCGCAGAACTGGAAAAGGATAATGATAGGCTTAAACGCGAATTGACCAAAGTGAAGTCAGAGCTGTCCAGTTATAGTACTAAAATGGAACAGGAAAAAACATCGAGAGAGCAGACAATTTCGTATCTAAGCAACCAGGTAACTAACATGGAGTCAAATCTCTCTGAAAAAAATGAGCAGTGCGCGTCTTTAACTAGAAAAGTCAGTTCGATTAATGATTCGCTTGTGCAAGCTAGAAATGATGTAAATAGAAAAGTATTTAAGATTCAGGATTTAGAGCGACAACTTCATTCTGCCAAGAGTCGCTTCGAAGCTGAAGTTGAAAGGCCCTGTTTGATTCGTAGTCTTCTGAATGCTAAAAGTAGTGAAATAAGAGCAAAGGTGGAAAATTATAAGCAAATGGGTGATCATGGAATCCAGGTTTTGTCCGAGTTTGCTGTTGCCGCAGACAGCGAAGCCCGACGACTTAAAAACGAACTGAGAAACTTGCGCGTGGAAGTCGAAATGTTGAAAGAGAATTCGGAAAGTTCAAGACGAAGCAATATCGAATTGACTTCACGAGACTTTCCTACTAGCAAACTTTCTTCGTTGAAACGCCAATTTTCTGGAACAAGTACTTATAATTTGGACGAGACTCTTGATCATAGCGCTGATTTGAGGTCAAAGGACTTGAAAAGGTCTGCGAATGAAAACGCTCATAGCAGGCTTTCAGATATTTTATCTTCGGCAGATGAAGGCAAAGAAAACTCATTTATCGAAGAGATAGCGAATGAACAAAGTGTGCGGTCATCGTCCGGGTCTAAAAACAGCAGTCAGGATCTTAAAGCCGGAACTTCTAAGGCAGGTGCTGTAAAGAAAAAAGCTTTCGTTCCGGTTCATAGCGATGACGATGATATTTTGATGGAACAAACAATCATGATCGAATCGCCAGAGTTTAGAAATCCACTTTCAAAAGTCAAGGGAAGTCTACTCAATCGAAATAGCAGTAAACCCAATTCCAAAGGCATTAAAAGGTCTTATAACGGACTGGGGTTCAGTTCTGCGCCGCTATTCCAAAGAAGTAATAGCTTTCGCAAGTAAACTGTTGCAATACTGACACAACAAATTTTAATACTTGTGATTTGATTTTTGAAATAGCGGTTTGTTAGTTTCACAGTAATTTAAATTTTGAATTCTTTGTATGTTTTAGTAGTTTGAGGCCGAGAGCGTACCTTCAACGCAGTTGGAAGACTTTTCATGTTATTAAGTGACAATAAACGAAGTGAAGACACTTATTTAGGTCGTGCTTTTTGCCGTCAAAGTTGTTCACGCTCAAAATTGATTTTTCGCGTTCAGATTTTGTTGATTATATATGCGATCAGCTTAGTGTATTATTACGAACCTTCTTTTTTTCTAAGCTAACTGGCAAATAAAATTGTTCATTAAAAGTGTTTTTTTATTTAGAAATTTCTATAGCATTGGAAATTGCATAGCATCTGTTCTCTGCTTTATTTGTGGCTAGTGCTTGGGACCTACTAAACGTCCGTGGCAGACTCCCAATCTCTAGGTCGCAGGTTCGAATCTCAGGCGTAGCCGAGTTTTTACTAATTGGAGGATTTTTTCTAATTTTTTATTGCACTTTATAGAGCTGCTTTTTGACGTGTTTCAATTCAAATTTATCTCAACTAAAGCTAAGGGTTGTGGCATCTTTTTAATTTTTGTGGGGATTGGTAGTTCTTGAACTAACTAATTAAAGCTTAAATGATGTAAAATGTTCTTATTTTCAATGAAGTCGCCCTAAACAGAATCATGTTGGTAAATATAAAAATGAAATATTTTCAACGTCAACCCGATTATTCGCAACATGACAACTCGCAACAAAAGAACCCGCAGAAAGACAAATACATTGTTTTAGCATAAGTATCATTTCGCAAATGCAAGAACGCACAATAAACTTCTTGGATAATCTAGTAATTGCTAAACGTCAGTTAATGAATTGAAAACACTTATTTAGGACGTGTGGTTTTGTTTAGTTTTTCAGGAATTGTTTGCGCTTAAATTTGATTTTTCGCTGTTTGATGTATTTTTCATCTTCAGTTGAAAAATTAATTTTCTAAATGGTACGAAATTACGCTCCGATAACGAATGTGCAATTAGCGCGCAAAAACGTGGTTGACTGTAAGTTTCGAAAGTGGATCATAATTTGAAGATTTTCCAGTGAAATATAGTTATTACTCGTCGATCGAATTTTCTCCTCGATTGGGTTTGCTGTATCGTGAAAGAGTTTAAAACACTTGCGAGAGCAAGTGTCGTGTAATCGGGAGATCTTTTTTTTTTTTACTGTAAACAACTATTTTTGCAAATTTGTAAGAAATTGTGAGTTTGCTTTTTAAGTTAACCTTACCAACTTCGATACCCTTTCCAATTAACCTAGAGGCAACACAGTTGCCTTTGTATCCTACGATCTGGGCTTCATCGGCTTAGCTACCTTATTATTTTGTCACTTCAAAAAATGGTTTATTTTTTTGTGAAAGTTCAGTTTGTTTGTGTTGCAAGGTAAAAACTTAATTACTCAAAAAATTATTACAACATTTTCTCATGTCATTTTTCTGCATTTGGCTCAATGGGCGACTACCCACTTGTTGTCGGCATTCTAGGCGCTCGGTAAATGCTTAAAGCTCATTCAATACTGGTGGTTGTGTTTTTCGACTGTTCTGAAATATTTTTCGGTTTTGTTTTTTCCTTCTCGTTTTCTCTTCGCTAGCTTGCACTATGGCGCTTAAAATTCAAAAAGCTTACTAATCGAAAAGCTGGGATATCAAAGGTTCTTTGAAACTCGAAAGTTACAATTTTTTCGATAAAGTATTTTTTACCGTCTACTTGAGTTAATTGACACTTTTACAACTGAATATGGCGATATTCGCCCATTCCGCTATAGCATTTTTAATCATGCATCAGTCGGTTCTTCCCTTGGTGCTCATCTTCTCGCTCGGTATATGTGAATTCATTTAGCCTTTTCCAACTGAATGTTGGCAATGTTCGCCCATTCCACTAAAGCATTTTCATCTACCATCAAATGGTTCTTCCCTTTGTGCTCATCTTCTTGCATTGGGTATTGGTTTTTTTGGTTGATAAAAACCTCGATTTTAACTCAGACCGGAAAGTAGTATCATTTTTAATTTGATCTTGGTTTGGTGGTGCAGATCCCTATTATATATTAGCCTGGTTTTCAAAACGCGAAGACCATCCAGGCTCTAGGCCATTTGTTCTAGAGGTAAATCCGGTTGCCTTTGTACCCTAAGGTTTCGGGTTTGAGTACCGTTCTTCGGAGCTTGATTCTATAATTATATATGAAATTGATTTTTTTCCAGGAAAAAAAAGAATGTCTGCTTACTTATTGCCGGCTAATTTTCAACTTCCAATTTAAACAATTCTTATAGACGTCTTGATATTTCGTAAATTTATCAACTCTCAATTCGAATTTTTTTGTTCCGACCATTGAAAATGGGTAGGGAGCTTTGTATTCGAGTGTGTTTTAGTTTTTTCTTCTTTTTGTTTTCCACGCAAAAGCAGCTACCATAAGTAATCATCGGACAGGGTTGAGTGATATATCATTTTAAAGCCCTTTCATTCGTGTTTCGAACCACATTAAAAAATTTCCCGGTGTCGAGAAAAACCGGTTTGAAATTTTTGATTTTTAGTCTAATTTCGAGCGAGTGAGCAGGCTTACATTAGCCTATTTTTGCCTAATTTAAGCCTCGAAAATTTAGTTTTACTCTACTGAAGTTAGTTTTTGGAGTTTTCAGCTTCATCTTAAGAATCAAAAACTTCAGAATTTTGGTAAATAATTTTAAAAAATTATTTAAAATTTTTTTTTCTACTTTTGTTATTTGTCTTCAAAAATTGTTTTCCAATTTGCATATTTTACATGACTGACGAAAATGCTGAAGCTCTACTTTTTTGCTCAGATTCTTTTATCACACCAAGCCGAAAAAACGACACTAATTGGAAAAAAATTTTGTTGTAATTTTAAAGACTGCTCGGAACATTCTGTGCTACTTGCACAGTAACCGGTTATCCTTGTTTTGTTTTCTTATTGTTCCGACTTGAAAAAGGGGGAGGAAGTTTGTATTCGAGTGTATTTCAGTTTTCTCTTTTATTTTTGTTTTCGACACAAAAGTAGGTACCTCAAATAATCATCGGACTGGGTTGAGTGATATATCATATTGAAGCCCTTTCTGTCGTGATTCGAACCACATTAACAATATGCCTGTGTCAAGAAAAACTTGTTATACGTTTTTGATTATTTTTCTAATTTTGAGCCAGTGAAACGAGCGAGCAGGCTTGTTTATGCTTAATTTCAACCGTTTGAAATAACTTACTTATGCTTAATTTTAATTTTACTCGAATAAAAAATAGTTTTTTGGAGTTCTTAACGCCATTTTGGGAATCAGAACTTCACAAAACAATTCAGCAAAAAAGCTTGACAAAATTTGTGGTTTTTTCTTTTTAATTGACTTTGTTTTTCTGGTCAGTTTTCTTCAAAAACTTGCCCGATTTCCCAATTTAACCATAAATGTCCTACTCTCGAATTTCTAGTTGTCTTTATTCAGATCTTTTTAAGGAAGTCACGACATAATTTGAAAAAAACTTTTGTGCATTTTTTTAGACTATGGTCAGAATATTCTGTGCTACTTGCACAGTAACTGGCTGGCCTGGTTTATAATGGTTTCGGTTTATATTTTATAAGCTTTTTCAACCTATTTTGTTGTCGTTTGAAGGGCAAACCTTTATTTTTTGACAATTCAGGATAATTATGGTGTAAAATTTTCAATTTCTAGTGGTATTTTTTTGTTGGGAGGCTTAGTGCCTACTCAATAAATGATACTTAAAGCTTAATTAATGCTGGTGGTTGGTTTCTCGGTTTTTTTCGAAGTTGATTTTTTCATTTTTTCAAATTTGTTTTTGTACTTTTTCAGGAAAAGTTCTAAAATTTGTTCAGTATCAGTGGTTTGACTTGTGATTTCTGCTTATGTTCAGTTCATCTTTGTTAAAAGGTTGCATACTCCGCCAGAACCATACTCCACCTATTGATCCAGTTTTCTCAAATTGGGTTAATTTAATCAAAAAAGCGTCAATCTAAATTTTTATTAGAAATTCAAGGCTTAAGGACATCTATTTTATTCTAAAATTTGAGATTTTTTTTTAAGTTGAGATTTTAAAAAAATGAATCCTAATTTTTTTCTGTTTACTTACGTAGTTTTCGAATTAGCGATTACCATCTCATTTCTTTTTTACTAGCTTGCAATGCTAGGCTTGCGTTACCTTGCAAGTGGTGCAAGGTTCCGCTTTGCCTCTTTGTTAATTTAAATGATTGTTATGTTTTATGTAAAATGATTTCTAACAAATTTTCGTTTAAGAGGAAATAATATAAATTTTTGAAATATCTTTTATATCCTTTGAAAACAAGGATAGCTGGTTGCTGTGCACTTAGCACAAACATTTCGACCAAAAAAAATCTAAAATGACAATAAAATGCAAAATTGAATTTTCTCAAATTGGGTTAATTTAATCAAAAAAGCGTCAATCTTAATTTTTTTTTAGAAATTCAAGCCTTAAGGACATCTATTTTATTCTAAAATTTGAGATTTTTTACAAGTTGAGATTTTGAAAAAATTAATCCTAATTTTTTTCTGTTTACTTAAGTAGTTTTCGAATTAGCGATTACCATCTCATTTCTTTTTTACTAGCTTGCAATGCTAGGCTTGCGTTACATTGCAAGTGGTGCAAGTTTCCGCTTTGCCTCTTTGTTAATTTAAATGAATGTTCTAGTTTTATGTAAAATGATTTCTAACAAATTTTCGTTTCAGAGGAAATAATATAAATTTTTGAAATCTATTATCTATTATATATTTAAATGCGGGCTTCACTATCTCGCCATGTTTAAGCTTTTTCAACGTATTATTTTAACATGTTTAAGTTATATCATATATTGCAATGGGTAAGAATTTTTTTTTCGATTTTCCAATTTGATTTTAGTGGTTACTTTACCGAGTTTAAATTAAGCAGCCCAATATCGAATTAGGGGTGGCGAATTTGGCCTCCAATTTTGAATGCCCGATCATTTTAGTTAACAAGATAAGATGATTTTTGAGATTTTTTCAGAATT